TAGCAATTACTTGGGGGAGGGGGTCTTTAAGAAACTGGTCGAATTAAATAAAGAAGAGCATCCTTCCTAAAGTTAGAGTAAGAGGTAAGTGAGTTAAGGGGCAGGCAGATGGGATTTTGAGTTTTCTTTCCAAGTTGGTATAAAGGAGCAATATCAACAAATCACTGAGAAATATAGCTCTACTTGGCCTCTGTCTATTGTGTTTGGGTTAGTAACAGCACCTGACCCTTTGTTACCCAAGTGAAAAACACATATAGTAGACTGCTGCCTCTCTCCCATACTCTCCATTCAACAGGTTTAAAAAGTCTTACAAATTCTTCCTTCATAACCTCTTTCCTCTGCCTCTTGAGCATTTCCAATCCCTTTTGCTATCACCTTACCTCAGCGTTTCATCTTTCACTTCTAGAATTCCAAATCTCCTTCTCATGCATTGTAAACACATTTCTAACTCATACTGATAATAAGGCTCCCCTACTTAAAATGGTGCAATGATTCCTATGACCTACGAGAAAAGAAGCAAACTGCTTGGCTGAGAAAATCAATCTGGTCCCTGCATAAATGCCCAGCCTCATAGCAGGGTGCCTCCATATACTTTTTGAACAGGTCAGATCAGTCTCTTTCGCAATTAGAGTTCCTTTGCTCCTGTGACTCTGTCTGAAAGGCCCTTCCTCCTCTGGGTCTACCTGGTGAATCTTACTCATCATTCAAGACACAGCTTACATGTTTTCTCTTAATCTGAACAAAATGCTGTCACTGCAACCCGGTGCATAGCTCCATCACAGGGATTATGGCAAATATCCAACTTACTGTTTATGGGTCTCTCTCCCCCACCTAGACTGTAAGATCCTTCTGAAAGAAATCATTTCTGAATTATCTGAATTATCAGCCTCGGCACATCAGACATCCATTAAGTGCCTGTCCCCTTCCCTCCCGCAGTACTCCCCAGTGAGCCCTGAAGACACAAATGACTAGACAAATTACAGTCCCTGGATGGTAGGTACAAAGAAGAGAGAGGTGCAGTCACAGTCATGAGTAAAACAATGACACCGATGGGGAACACTAGACACTAGAACAAAGACCCTGAGCTCCTGCTGCTGAAGTCCCAAGAACTCCTCGATCCTGCCCGCCTTCTTCCAAGTGGTTATCAGAACTTCATGGTTTCACTCATTCATTATACTCCCATTTTCTAGATAAAAACAGTTCTTTAGTACTACTGTCTTCATCCTTCTATCATTCAACTATTTTCCTTGCCTTGATTCATGAATTTATGATTATTAGCAGAATGTAGGCTCCTACTAGGCAAGCTCATATCTTAAATTTCAAGGACAGAGATAGGGCATTTTTTATACATTCACTAGGTAATTATTTTTTATAATTAGAAGGAAAAAAATCTAAGACCCTAACTCCAACAAACAAGCAAATAAACAACCTGTTCTGAATAATTTTTAGCAATCTCCCTCCTGATAGATGAGTACATATCTAGCTAAATCTAGTTACATCAATTTTATAGGGCCATAAACTACTGTACTTTATAAAGCTGATTTTTTGAAAAATTGGATCTCATAGCAAAGTCTCTTCTAGGACCAGGATTACTTTGCCAGGCTTGGGAAATAGCCCTTGGATGCTATGAGTTTTCAACACCAATATATTAGACTTGAGAACCTGGAGGGGAAAAATAGGTTATACTTATTTTGTTTCTGGGAACTTCTTCCCAAATATTTTTCTATGTATACAAATGCACATAAAGACATACAATTTTACATAAATAGTATGATACCAGGTATTTGTTTTGCTGCCTGCAATATAATACCTTTTCATATTAATAAATGTAGATTCTCAGTGTTTATATACTATTGTACTGCATTTTTACTCATTAAGACCTTTATATCATTATTATTTATTAACCAAGTTATGAAATATCTGTTCTTTTGTCTATTTTTGTCTGGGTTGTTTAGCTTCTTTTTAAAAATCAGTTTATAGTAGTTCTCCATAGATTCTGAGTATGAATCCTTTGTCAAAAATGTGTTAATGGTGTCTTTTGATGAGAGGAGTTGAATTTTGATAAAACCCATTAATCAATTTTTTTCTTTTATGATTAGTGTTGTGTTATAGGAAATCATTGCCAGGGCACCTGGGTGGCTCAGTTGGTTAAGCATCAGACTCTTGATTTTGGCTCATGTCATGATCTCAGGGTTGTGAGATCCAGAGTCCTGGGTCGAGCTCCACACCAGATGTGGAGCCTGCTTAAGATTCTCTCTTTCCCTCTTCTCTGCCCTTCTTCCCACAGCGCCCCCCCCCATTTTTTTTTTTTTAAATCATTGCCTTCGGTATGGAAATAGGGAAAAATTGGAAACACCTTATACTTTCATATGTCAATTATACTCCTATAAAGCTGAAATTTAAAAAAAGAAATTATTGCCTACTCTCAAGTCATGAAAATATTCTCCTGTATTTTCTTCTAAATGCTTTAATGTTGTTGTTGTTGTTTTTTTTAAGATTTTATTCATTTATTTGACAGAGAGAGACACAGCTCAAGAGGAAACACAAGCAGGGGGAGCGGAAGAGGGAGAAGCAGGCTTCCCGTTGAGCTAAAGGCAGATGCTTAATGACCGAGCCACCCAGGCACCCCTCTTCTAAATGCTTTAGTTTTATCTTTCACATTTGGGCCCAAGATCCACCTCCAATTATCATTTGCATATGGTGTGAAGTAGGGATCAGTTATTTTTTTCCATGTGATTATCCACTAAAAATTTATTTTTCATTAGAATACATTTTACAATTCCCTTATATATTTTTGTTCCCAAGAATGATTTAAAATACACCTTTAAATCTTAACCTAAGGAATAATCAGCTGATAAATTTCTTAATATAAAAGCATTTTTCCTAAAGATTAGTATTTTAAAAAATATTATCAAGGGTCATGTGTTCCCTGGATGACTCAGTTGGTTAAACATTTGACTCTTGATTTCATCCCAGTTTGTGATTTTATGGTCATGAGATTGAGCCCTGTGTCTGGCTCCATGCTGGGCGTAGAGCCCGCTTAAAAGTCTCTCTCTTGGGGTGCCTGGGTGGCTCAGTGGGTTAAAGCCTCTGCCTTCAGCTCAGGTCATGATCCCAGGGTCTTGGGATGGAGCCCCGCATCAGGCACTCTGCTCAGCAGGGAGCCTGCTTCCTCCTCTCTCTCTGCCTGCTTCTCTGCCTACTTGTGATCTCTGTCTGTCAAATAAATAAATAAAATCTTAAAAAAAAAATAAAGTCTCTCTCTCTCCCTCTCCTTCTGCACCTCTCTCTCTAAAAAAATAAATACATATATGTGTTTTTTATACACACACACACACACACACACACATATATATGAGTGTATGTGTGTATTATCAAGGGTCAGACAATCAAGTAGCAAAAATAATCTTCTGGACAAATTAGTTTTATTTAAAACTTCATTAAAATGCAGTTCATTCATAAATTCAACTCTATAATAGAGTGGTAATTTTAGAAAATTCATAAAGTAAATAATTTTTACTATAATTTTAAGAGTTATTCTTTGTTGCTATTGTTAAAATTTTATAATTATAAAATTGCATTTTTGCTTTTGGCAAACAACCATAAAAAGTGAAGTTTTAGGTGTTATTTGATAAATAGCACTGCATTTAGTGGAGCTAAAATTTTAAGTGGAAATATAATTGTCTTCTTTAAATATATACCTACAATGTTTCATGTTATACCCCTTACTTCTCTATCTACAATGGACATGATCACATGACAGGTCTAGAAGAAGGGAACTAACTTTGTTGAGTACCTTCTGTGTATTAAGCATTGAGCAAGATGCCTCTATTCCATGAATCTCAATCTTCATAACAACTCTTCAAAAGAATCCTCATTTTCCCTTCATTTTTTAGGTAAGGAAACCAAGACTCAATGGGGTTAAATATTTCCCAAAATCTATAGCTAGGAAGGGAAAGAAGTGGGGCTGTAAGGGAAGTCTATCTGAATTCAAAACCCAAGCTCTTTTCTCTATACACTAATATTCTCTGGGAGAAAATGGTTGATAAACAAAGACAAATTATGTATCTTAGGACATTCATTGGTAAGTTTCTTTTCAATAATGAAAGAAGTAATGTGTTTTTCTGAATACCTTGCTTAAGATTATGGCACACACTATAAAGGACAGTTAAGAATGTTCACTTACCATGAAGGACTTTATATAACCTAGCTGAGCAGATAAAACTAACATGTATGACATAATTAGTGAACAATATCGAATAGTTAAAATTAACTGTTAAAGTAAGATCTGGCGACCATTGTTGTTGCAGGCATTTTTGAAATGATGACCACGCTGAAGGTCACTGAGGTAATGTTTAGAGTGGGCTACATTATGAAAGATCTTGAAAGAGTTAAACTTAATAAAGTGACATTTAAGAGACCCTTGGAGCTTTCTGATCTTGCAAGAGGTGCTTACAAAAGTTTTCTTCAGCAGAAATACTCAGCGTATTTCTGAGTAGAATGTGAACAATGAAGTCATGAAGAACTTTTTAAAATTCTAGCAGTAAAACAAGGGCCTGAACTAAGGTGGTCCTGGTGATAAACTTGAAAATCAAATGATATGTTACTAGGTTTAAGATTCTGCTCTCCAGTAGGACTGTACTTACTACAGATAAAATACTATAATTGAAACAAAGAATATAAAAAAACATATATAGTTGTCAGCATGCTCTCAACAATATGGAAATTCTAGGTCCATCTAATTTAATCTATATTTTCAGTAAATGGATTTTATTCTGTTACAACAAAGCTGCTCACCTCTATGAAAATTAAAACATCTTTAAAGCCCTCTTACTCTTCCTTAGTCTCGGAAATAACCAGTTTTTCAGGAAAAGAGAAAGAAGGTACCATAAATTAGTGGAATCTCTGTAATGCAAGGCCAACCAAAATGTGATTTATACCTGTATCACATGGAATATGATTATAGGTTATGACATGTAAATTCTTTCAATTACCTTCAATATATCAAAATTACATTTTATAAAGGGGTTTAAAACATAATTGTCCTAAATTATTATTAGACCAGGCCCACTGAACTCTTTTCTTTCCAAATCTTTTAAATACATACAGTATCATAAGGATATAAGCCTAATAAAATAAGCACTAAGTGTTTTTTGATTAGATGAATTAGAGCATATCATCATCACAATTTATATGGTAATTAATTCAGACCAAAGCAGAGGGTTATGAAACCAAAACATGAAATAATTTAGAAGAATCCTCTTAGAGATTAACTTTGACTCCAATGGCTTGTTTAAATTCATGGTTTTGTGGTTCCAAGATATCATAGAAAACTTGTTTTTTGTCAAAATGGTCTCTAATGCAAAACAAATCTTCAATGGAATAGTTATCATTTTTCCCAGTCCAAATAGTCAGGCTGTACCTGCATTAAAATAAAACAGAATTTTATACTGAAAAGTAAAAGATAAGAAACAGTGATGAGGAATTCCAATAAGCCTAAAAATAGTTACTCTCATTTATCTTTAACCCAAATTCACACAGACAAAAAAATTAATTAGCAGTGCTGGAACATATAGTTCCTGTTTCATTCCTTCATGAACATCAAAAGGACTAGAGAGAAAAAAATTCACATTGCCATCATCTAAATTAGGTAACTGCTATATCTGAATTATAGGAATGTGAAATGGCTTTGGAAACCCAGACTGGTAACCCTGAAAATGGGCCAAATTTTGGACAAAAAAACTGAAGAGATTATAATGCTGAATAAGGAATTTGTTCCCTACACAAAACCTACAGTTCTAATTTGGGTTTTTTTTCAGTAGCCTAGGTAGAGTCAAAGGCATGACTGCAAGGGACTATGAAGAGATACAATGTCACTGACATTACCAACATTCATATTCACTTACATGTGGCCCCACTCTCCCTTCTGGGGGTGTTTGTATGAGATATAAGACTGCCAAGGGATGTCACTAAGGATGCCAAACAGAATAAATTTAGATCCATTTCTGGGCGTTAAAAAAACAATAATAATATATGCAGATTTATCATGGATGTTAAGAATATACTCAGAATTTTAAAGTTATTTAAATTATATATTTTCATTTCTTCCAGTAGACATTACTTCTATTACAAAACTATTGCATCAGAGTCTAAGAAAATGCAAAGCTGCTAAGTAGTTCCACACTTATTTTCCCCATAAACATTTCAGAATGCAGGAAAAAAAATCTCCAAAGTCCTTCTTCTACTACTACTAAGAAAGTCTAACCAAGGTATATGTTCTTGCTATGTTGGCACATTCCTGTCCTTGAGGATTGTGATTCCATTCTAGAGATGCACTTTGAATTTTATGTGGAATTTTATTCCACAGCAGCATTTGGTAAAAAGAAATTTTAAGCTACAGGTGAGGACACACACAGACACACACACAAATGAGAATTTCTTTAAGATCTATATTTTTACGACTTACCAAGACTGAATCAGAAGGAATTTAAAAATCTGGATAGATTAACTACTAGTAAACAAATTGAATCAACAATTTAAAAAATCTCCCAATGAAGAAAAGCCCAGAACCAGATGGCTTTTGGTGAATATTTCCAAACGTAAAGAATTAACACCTATTCTTCTCCAACTCTTCCAAATAACTGAAGAGCAAGAAACAATCCCAAATTTATTTTATAAGACCAGCATTATTTTGATACCGAATCCAGAAAAGGACACTATTAGTAAAGAAAACTGTTAAGTCAATATCCCTGATGAATATAGATGAAAAAATTCTCAATTAAATACTACCAAACCGAAGTCTGCAGCACAACAAAAGAATCATTCACCATGATTAAGTGGGATTTATCCCTGTGATGTGAAGATAGTTCAACACACACAAATTAATGTTATACATCACATTTAATAGAATGAAAGAATAGAATCATACGATCATTTTAGTAGGTGCAAAAAAAGCATCTGACAAAATTCAACATCCACTCATGAAAAAAATCAATAAATCAGGCTCAGAAGGAATATATCTCAACAATAAAGGCCATTTATGACAAGTCTACAGCTAACAACATACTCTATGATGATAGGATGAAAGCTCTTCTTCTAAGATCAGGAACAAGACTAGGGAGCCTACTCTCACCACTCTTATTCAACATAGTCTTGAAAGTCCTAGCTACAGAAATGAGGCAAGAAAAAGAAATAACAAGTGTAAGAATTAGAAAGAAGTCAAATTGCCTCTATTTGCAGATGACATGATTCTGTACATAGACTTTGTATAGAGACTCAACCAAAAACCTGTTAGATCTAATCAATGAATTCAGTAAAGTTGCAGGATACAAAATTAATTTACAAAAATCAGTAGCATTTCTATACACTAATAGCGAAATTTCTGAAGAAGAAATAAATTGATCTCATTTACAATAGCATCAAAAATAGTAAAAGACATGGGAATAAATTTAATCAAGAGGTAAAAGATGTTTATGCAAAAATTATGACACTGATGAAAGAAATCAAAGAGGACATAAATAAATGGAAAAATATTCTGTCTTCATGTATTAGAAAAATTAATACTAAAATGTTAATACTACCAAGAGATTCAATGCAATCCCTATCAAAATTCCAATGGGATTTTTTACAGAAGTAGAAAAAACTCTCCTAAAATTTATATGGAACCACAAAAGACCCTAAATAGCCAAAGAAATCTTAATAAAGAAGAACAAAGCAGGAGGCATCATACTTCCTCATTTCAAATTATACTATATAGCAATAGTCATCAAAACAGTGTGGTAGTGGCATAAAAATGGACAAATAGACCAACAGAACAGAATCAAGAGCCAAGCATATATGTCAACTAATATTTGACAAAGGAGCCAAGATTACTCAATGGGAAAAAAAGTCTCTTCAATAAATGGTGCTAGGATAATTAGATAGTCACGTGTAAAAGAATGAAGCTGAACCTATATCTTATATCAGACACAAAAATTAACTTGAAATGAGTTAAACAATTAAATGTAGGATCTGAAACCATTAAACTCCAAGAAGAAAGCATAGGAATAAAGCTCCTTGACATGGGTCTTTGTAATGATTTTTTTGGATATGACACCTAAAGCACATGAAACAAAATAAAAAATAATCAAGTGGGACTAAATCAAACTAAAAGGCTTCTGCACAGCATAAAAAAAAAATCAACAAAGTGAAAACAGCCTCTGGAATGGGAATGGGTAAAAATATTTGCAAACTATAGATAAGGTGTTAATATCCAAAATACATAAAGAACTCAGAAAAAAACTAATGGTAACAAATTATAATAAAAAAACAAAAAGCCCATTTTAAAAATGGGTTAAAAGAAAAAAAAAAGACCTAAACAGACATTTTTCCAAAGAAGATATATGAAAGGCCAACAGGTACATAAAAAGATGCTCAACATCATCAGTCATTATGGAAATGTAAATCTAAACCACAATGACATACCACCTTATGCAGGTTAGAATGGCTATCATCAACAAAACAAAAGATAACAAATGCTGATGTGGATGTTAAGAAAAGGGAATCCTTGTGTGCTGCTGGTGGGATTATAATTTGGTTCAGCCACTATGGAAAATAGTACAGAGGAGTGTCAAAACTACCCTATGATCCAGCAATTCTACTTCTGGGAATATATCCAAAGGAAACAAAAACATTAACTTAAAAAAATATCCACACTCTCATGTTCACAGAACCATTGTTTACAATAGCCAAGACATGGAAACAACCTAAATGTCCATCAATGGATGAATGGATAAAAAAGGTTGTGGTATATACATTTATACAGTGTAGTATTATTCAGCTAAAAAAATGAGGAAACCTTACCATTTGTGACAGCATGGATGGACCTTGAAGGCATTAGCTAAGTAAAATAAGTCAGACAGAAAAAGACAATACTGTACAATCTCACTTACATGTAGAATCTAAAAGGAAAAAAACCCTCATAAACAAAGAGATTAGACTTGCGGTTACCAGATGTAGAGGGCGCAGAGGGGAAAATGGGCAGGTGGTCAAATGTACAAATTTACAGTTATAAGGTAAGTACTAAGGATCTAATGTACAACATGATGCCTAGAGCTAACACTGCTCTATGATTACATAGGCAAGTTTTTTAGAGAGTAAATCCTGAGTTCTCATCACAAGGAGAAATCGTCTTTCTTTTTCCTTATCTTCATTCTTTTTATTGTATTTATATGGGAAGACAGAGGTTAACTGAACATCTGAACATGTGGTGGTAATCATTTCACAATATAAATAAATCTAACCATGCTGTACACCTTAAACTCATACAGTGATGGGGGCATCTGGGTGGCAGAGCTGTTTAGGTGTCAGACGCCTAGTTTTGGCTCAGGTTGTGATCTCAGGATCGTGGAATCAAGCCTCAAGTTGGGCTCCACGCTCAGCACGGAGTCTTCTTAGGACTCTTTCTCCCTCTCCCTCTATCCCTCCCCGCTGGGTCACTCTCCCTCTCAAATAAATAAATAAATCTTAGAAAAAGACTTATACAGTGATATAATTTCATGTATTTCTCAATAAAACAAACAAAAATACTAAAAAAAAACCTGTATTTTTTTTGCTAAAATGGCATCTTTATTATTTTATTTAAACACAATAGTGACTAACCTTATGATAAACAGATATGAATTCAGGCTAAAAAAGGAGCTCTCCAGTCTTACTCTGCTCTTTTAATCCTCTCTCTATTATATTTGAAGTGAAATAGGAAAAAAAATTACCTCAGGGTACCTAAATTGTATTTATTCAAATCAATTCTCAGGTTTCATTTTTAATCCCTTTTCATTGTGAAATTATATAGGAAAAATGCATAATACATAAATATGCATTTTAATGAATTATTATAAAATGAACTCTAGTTAACCAAAACACAAATCAAGAAGTAGAGAACCACCAGTACACTGGGAAGTACTTATATGTCACTCTGTAATCACAACATTTCCTCTACCCTGGACTGCTCACACTCTTGACCTTTGTGGTAGTCATATTCTTACTTTTCTTTATTTACTACCTATATAGCCATCCCTAATCAGTACAGTTTAATTTTTGCCCGTTACTTAATTTTATATAAATGGAATCATATGATGCATAATTTTTTTTGGTCTTGCCTCCTTTTTTTTTTTTTTTTTAAAGACTTCATCTATTTGGGAGATGGAGAGAGACAGAGAGAGCAAGCACATGTGCACCAAGTGGGGGAGGGGAAGAGGGAGAAGCAGACTCTCAGCTGATGGGGAAGCCTGATTCAGGGCTTGATCCCAGGATCCAAGATCTGACCAAACGGAAGGCAGATACTTAATCAACTGCATGTAAAGAAGTGAAGAGAATCTGCCCATGTCTGTAGATGACAGAGAAAACCTACCAAAGACATTGCTAGATGAGGGGCACATTCCACCTAAACACTTTGCAACAGTGGGAATGGCATCCCTGAGCTACAAGTGGAAGCTTTCTTCAATTAGGTTTGGTTCCAAGAAGCTATGAAGATAAGGAAAGAGTGAACACGGAAAAGCCATAGTTGTAGGTATCAGACTATTCCTGTAGTAACTCAAAATTTAAAATTTAAGCAACAGATAAAAGATTTTACTTAGAGGGGTGCCTGGGTGGCTCAGTCAGTTAAGCATCTGCCTTTGGCTCAGGTCATGATTTCAAGGTCCTGGAATGAAGCCCTGCATCAGGCTCCCTGCTCAGCGAGGAGCCTGCTTCTCCCTCTCCCTTTGCCGCTCCCCCTGCTTGTGCTCTCTCTCTGTCAGATAAATTTAAAAAACATTTAAGTTTAAAAGGGGGGGCACTTGGGTGGCTCAGTGGTTTGGGCCTCTGCCTTTGGCGTGGGTCATGATCTCAGGGTCCTGGGATCGAGTTCCACATCGGGCTCTCTGCTCAGCGGGGAGCCTGTTTCCTCCTCCTCCTCTCTCTCTCCCTCTCTGCCTGCCTCTCTGTCTACTTGTGATCTTTCTCTGTCAAATAAACAAATAAATAAATAAATCTTTAAAAAAATAAAACCTAGATAATGGATTTATCTTTTTTTTTAGAAACCAGCTCTTAGATTTATTCATATTTTTGATTAATGATTCACTAATTTCTTTCTTTTATCTTTTAAAATTATGTTTTATATAGCTTCATAATTTCTTGAGTTGGATGCTTTACTTTCATTTTATATTTATTAACATATTTATATTTATTAATGCAAGTATTTAAGACTTTTCTTTTTTCTCTGACCACTGCTTTAGCAGTGTCCCATTGTTCCTTTTGTGTAGGTTTTCTTTATTGTCAATTTGTATCACACAATTGTAAGTTTTTCCTCAAAAGTTGTTTTTTTTTTTAAAGATTTTTTTTATTTATTTGACAGACAGAAATCACAAGTAGGCAGAGAAGCAGGCAGAGAAAGAGAGAGGAGGAAGCAGGTTCTCTGCTAAGCAGAGAGCCTGACATGGAGCTCGATCCCAGGACCCTGGGATCATGACCTGAGCCGAAGGCAGAGGCTTAACCCACTGAGCCACCCAGAGGCCCCTCCTCAAAAGTTGTTTTAAGAGAAATTTTTTAGGCATCTAGGTAGTAGAATTATTTTTTTATTTTGGGTTTATTATAGTTTCTGGGTTTACTGTATTATAATCAGAAAACATTTTACTTTGTAGATTTTCTTAAGGGCTTCATATATAGGTATTTGTATGAGTTCATGTATTGTATGAGGATATAGTTTGGCTGTTATAATAGAAACCTAAATTAAAAATAGCTTAAACAAGCCTAGCTCTCTTTCTCACATAGCTGGAAAAGCACAAATAATTCAGGGCTGATTTTGTGCCTCCACATGTCAAGGACCCAGAAGACTCCTACCTTGATGCTCTTGCTTTCCTTAGGATATTGCCTTCTCTAGTTTATTGTGCATCTAGTTTAATCAAGAAACAAGACGGAAAGCTCAAATAAAGAAAATAAGAAAATAAAGACATAGAAATGTGGGAGCCAAGAGCCACCCCAAGATGGCACAAACATTATTTTGAGTTAAAAAACAAAACCCCAGCAGATACAGGAAAATCTCTTTACCTCCTCCTCAACAGCCAGCTTGTACCAGGAAGAGAGCTATTAACAGAGATTGCTCTTAACAGAAACTTACCTACATAATAGGTATTATTTATTATATTATAGTATAGTATAGTAGTAGTATTATATTATACATAATACATTATAAATTTATTATATTATTATAAAATGTAAGATTTTATTATAAATATATTATTAAATTTATTATTTTATTTATTTTAGAAGATTAAAATAGTATATAACCCTATAAACCCATTCATTCTCTGGAACACTTTCTTCCCTGCATTTCTGAGGTAGCTATCTTAATTTGAGCTCAAGGAAAAAAATATATAAATTTTTTAATATTAGACTTCTTTCTCTGGTAACTTTGCAGCGAGAATAGCTTCTAAGTTTTGTGCCTTACTAAGAAAGGTCTTCTCCACTCTGAACCTACAGAAAATATCATATTTTTTCTTTGTGTATTTAATGCTTGATTTTCAAGTCTTTAATTCACCTGGAATTCATTTTGGAAGAAAGATGAATGAAAGGTGCCAGTTTTGGTTTTTTTTTTTTTCTGCACAGTTGGCCTATTCTCATATACCATACTGAACTTTTGCACCAATGATTTGAAATGCTAGCTTTCCCTAAACTAATTCCATGATAGATTTGGGTTTATTTCTGGATTTTCCTTGTTCTACTAACTAGTATATTAAAGACAGTATCAAAATTGTTTCAATATCTGTACATTTATAATCTCTTTTGATATTTAATAGGTAGTCCAACTAATTTTTATTATATATTAAAATAATAAAATTTTTATATGGAAGAAACTTCTGAAATTAAGATAGAATTCAAAGAGAAACTATTTTATCGACTTAAAACTTTTTGAGAGTGTATAACATAATAGAAAAAGGACATTTACTGGGCACCTACCGTGTTCAGAAACTTTTGTGAGGAATAGAGGTGAAAGACATGACGTTATGTAAGTGAAGATTAATCAGGAGCTTCTTTCAAGTGAGGGGATTTGTTCACTTACACAATCAGTGTTCATTCTCTGTCTCCATCTTTTTCTCACACACACTGTCTTTTTTTTTTTTTACGATTTTATTCATTTATTTTTGAGAGAGAGAGCACGCATGCATGAGTGGGGGAAGGAGCAGAGGCAGAGGGAGAAGCAGGGAAGCCTAATGTGGGGCTCGATTCCACAACTCTGGGAACACGACGTGAGCCGAAGGCAGACACTTAACCGACCGAGCCAGCCTGGCATGCCCACGCACTGTCTTTCCATAATCAGTTTTCATCCTCTCTTTCTCACACATCTCACACGCATATGCTATTTTGTTAAACTTACACATACCTGTTTGATTTCTTTAACAGCCAAAGTAACTGAGAACAAGACTGCCTGACTAATGCTGCTCTGACAGGAAATGTTACAGGCTGATTTAGCTCCTTACATATATACTCCATTTCTTTCACCATTGTCCAACTGTAACCTGAAATGAAAGAAAGAAATTCAATTTTTCTAACTGGAATCCTAAAAGTCAGTTAAATAAAAAACTAAATTAAATTACCTATGAGTAGGTAATTCATAGGTATTTTATAAAAAGCTCTATTCGGATTCAGAGTGAACTAAATTACCACTTAATACATGAAAATATTTTGAATGGAAAATAGAGACAAAAAATCAAGATTAAATCATGCCACAAGTGACTTAAGAGCAAGTTTAATAAAACATTAAAATATTAAAAAGGTTTTACTAATCTCTCAAGGGCAAAAAACTCAAACCTTTATACTATATTTATCTTAAAGATTCTAAGGCTCTTACCTTAGGTATATCTGGCTCATTTTCTTTTTAAAGATCTTATTTCTTTGAGAGGGAGAGAGTGAGTGAGAGCACAAGAGCAGCAGGAGGGAGAAGCTGACTCCCTGCTGAGCAGGGAGCTGGATGAAGGGCTCTATCCCAGGACACTGGAATCATGACCTGAGCTAAAGGCAGATGCCCAACAGACTGAGCCACCCTGGTGACCTTATCTCCCTTACTAATATTCTCTATAAACTTAGATTTTCTGGGGGTGTCTGGGTGGCTCATTTGGCTAGACATCTGCCTTCAGCTGAGGTCCTGATCTCAGGGTCCTGGAATCGAGTATGTCGGGGTTCGTACTCAGTGGGGAGTCTGCTTGTCTCTCTGCTCCTCCCCCTGCTGACGTTTGCTCTTTCTCTCTCAAATAAATAAATATAATCTTTTTAAAAAGGTACATAAATAAACTTAGATTTTCCATTGTGTTTGTTACTTAAGTATTTTTTTTTTCAACAGAAAGATGCCTGCTAGGTAGTAGATGTTTAAGAAATAATTATCTTCATGATTATTTTTTGACTAGTCCAAACTACTTATACATTTTATTTAAAGTAGAAATAGTAGAAAAATGACTTTCATTTTTTTAAAATAATTTTATTTAGGGAGCAAGAATGTATGCAAGTGGGGGAAGGTTAGAGGGAGAGGGAGATAGAGAGAATCCCAAGCAGACCATGCTTTTAGCATGGAGCCTGACACCAGGCTCGACCCCATGTCACTGAGATGATGACCTGAGCCAAAATCAAGAGTTGGATGCTTAACTGAATAAGCCACCAGTCATTCCCAAAATTACTTTTATATATGGGTTTTAAATCATGTTAAGAGATTGTGGAAAACACATTTGCTTGTTTATAAAAGCTTTGGGAAAAAAAATTATATTTTGGGGGGCACCTGGGTAGCTCATTCAGTTGAGCGACCAACTCTGGATTTCAGCGCAGGTTATGATCTCAGGGCTGTGAGACTAAGTCCCTTGTCAGGCTCTGCACTGGGTGTAGAGCCTGCTTGGGATTCTTTCTCTCCCTCTCCTTTTGCCTCTCTCCCCCCTTCTCTCTCTGTCTCTAAAAAAATAGAAAAAAAATTATATTTTCAAAATAATAGCCTCTATGGGGCATCTGCATGATGCAGTGGGCTAAAATGCCCAATTCTTGGTTTCTGCTCAGGTGGTGATCTCAGGGTTATAGGACTGAGCCCCATGTTGGGCTCTACACTCAGTGTGGAGTCTGCCTCAGACTCTTATATCCCTGTCCCTCTGTCCCTCCCTCACAGAATAAATAAATAAATAAATAGCAGCCTCTATCAAAAACAGCTTATAAAAAGTACTGGTAAATAAAGGAATATTTTACAGAAAGCTTATGTGAATATGTTAGTTTAGCAGCTAAATTCCTCATAAAAGAAGGGCAATGTTCTGCTTTCCTTGAAAATCTGAAAATCTTTGTAATTAGAAAAAGGGATTGCTAACAGAAGCTACATTTGCATGACTATAAATTTATAAACTCTTTTCTAAATCTGTGAAACATGGGATGCCTGGGTAGCTCAGTCGGTTGGGCATCTGACTCTTGATTTCTGCTTGGGTCACAATCTCGGGGTTGTAAGATCTGGCTCCAGCTCAGTGTGCAGTCTGCTTGGGATTCTCTCTCTCCCTCTTCCTCTGTCCCACCCCTCACTCACAAGCACTCCCTCTCTTTCTCTCTCTCTCTAAAATAAATAAATATTTATTTATAAGAAATAAAAAGTAAGGAAGTATAAAGCATATGTTGGTAATGACAAGAGGCCAATGGGAGAAAAGCAGCCTGGCACATTCAACACCAAAATGAATTCAAAATCCAGATATAGTCTAATTAGTTAAAGCCTGAGGTTAAACCAGAATTATACTAAACAGTGACAAAAGGAGTTTAGAATCAGTAAGGAAGTCGATAAACTATTTCTCATTTACCTTCTTTGAACACTTTGAATTACAAGCAATATTCTTTAATGAAGCTAATTAAAAATAAAATGCCTAAAAAATTAGAATTATGATAAGCATATTATTCTTTGTCTCAATCACATCAATTGTTGGTCCAGAGGGTTAGAACCTAAATGTCACTACTCACTAGATAGCAGTTACTCTGCTTATGTTGGACTAAAAAGTTAACGTCTAAATACAATAATTGCAGGGGTGCTTGGGTAGCTCAGTCAGTTTGACCTTTGCCTTCAGCTCGGTCATGATCCCAGGGTCCTGGAATCCAGCCCCACGTCAGGCCCTCTGCTCAAAGGGGATCCTGCTTCTCCCTCTGGCTCTCCCCCTGCTTATGCTCTCTCTCTCTCTCTGTCAAATAAATAAGTAAAAGCTTAAAAAAAAACAATAACTGAAAGTAAGTAAAAGAGGAATTCCCTGAACCCAGGGTAAAGACTAACATCTCCATATGCTCTAAATACCTTCTTCATTTACTTTTACCATGTGGACAGGAGCTCCAGAGCATCTGATGGCTTTCGAGCTGTTTACCTGTAAATCACTGCCTAAGGATGTATGAAGAAATAGAAAGATGAACCCAAACAGCATAATCAGTTTCAACTGGGGGGAAAAAAAGCTGAAATCTGGGTCCATCCTGAGGTGAACAGATGAAAGGGAAGAAGGATCCAGCCTAGAGGAGAGTCTCATGGCCTCCCACTCCCCTGTCCAGACAAAGAGATGAAACCAGCAAACTACTTATGGAGCCCTTTTCAATGTCCAGGGAGTAGAACTTGGGCTCTTCAACAACCCTCTCCCTCCTTCTGGCCTCACATCACGGGAGAAGTACTTCTTTATCGTTCATCTGATGTAGGAAGTATGCTCCAAGGTAAAAAGGGGAAAAAAAAAAAAGAGTATAGAGTGATTTGCAAGTTCAAAGAGACCAATTCAGGATTCGTTTAAAGTTTGTAGAGGCATCTTTGGTTAATCTAGACCATGCAAATTTCCCATCCAAGCTTGGTGATACAATGTCACCAACAAATGCAGTCTATCTGAAAGAAAAGAAAGAAGAGACATACAGATGCCTTAGGGCCAGAACTTTATCTCTATTAGGCTCTTAGATTTTGGAATAAGAGTTTGGTTTTGTATTTAAACCTGTTATTTTTGTATTTTGAGCAGATTTTAATTTGACCCATAAGAAATACATTTTTAAAATTATTACCTTCATTGACTTTCTCAGGATGCCATCCTGTTGTCCAACCCAGGGAAAATGTCACATCTGGAAAGAAGGATGTCACCGTGTCTATAAAAGGTTTTGCATCCACTACCCTGCTATTTCCATTTGGACCAGGAAGAATATCAGCATTAATCCACACAGGACGTTTCAGATGCCTCTTCACATTTTCCAGGAGCATCATGGATGGTTCTACAGCTGCCAGACTAAAAACATAGTTGTTGTCAATGAGATACATTCCTAAAGTAAAAGTAAAAAGTTCTTTTAGACTAGTGGTTTCAATGTTTTCAACTTCCTAACAAAATTGTAATACGATAATGCCTGAACTAAATAAAATCAAAGATCACATTAACATCAGAGGAGAAGTTAACATATGCCATATCTCAAATTGTTGACTTATACTTATTATTCATGAGGATACCTTAAGGGTTCTAAAAACACATGAAGAATGCCACTATTTGTAGAAAGACTGAAGTTTCAAAAACTGTATTAGGAACACTCAGTATAAAATAATTTAAGAAAAGACATAAATACTCAGTCTTCAGAGAATCTATACATAAGATTTAAAAATTAGATATACTCATAACCTGAAAATTCACATTTATGAAAATCCCTACAGTATACCTAGGCACTGTGTCTCTACTGGCTCATGACCTCAGAGAAAAGAGACTCTATTCTTTCATGTATACTTTTAAGTTTGGATGCATAAACATGTTTCTAAAACTGACTGCAAAGTATAAAATTATAACATCCTCTTAAAACTTTTATAAATTTCATTTTCACTTCATAAACATCTTTTCTGGAGTCTAGAGACAACCATATTTTAGTTACTATATTTATTTTTTAAAAGATTTTATTTATTCACTGGGCAGGGAGAGGGAGAGAGCACAAGCAAGGGGAGTGGCAGGCAGAGGGAGAGGGATAAGCAGACTCTCCACTGAGCAGGGCAGGGGCCCTGGGATCATGACCCGAGCAGAAGGCAGACAATTTTTTTTCATTTTATTTTATTTTTTCAGTGTTCCAAGATTTATTGTTTATGCACCACACCCAGTGCTCCATGCAATACGTGCCCTCCTTAATACCCATCACCAGGCTGACCCATCCCCCACCCCTCCCTTCCAAAACCCTCAGTTTGTTTCTCAGAGTCCACAGTCTCTCATGCTTCATCTCCCCCTCCGATTTCCCCCAATTCACTTTTCCTTTCCTCCTCCTAATGTCCTCCATGATATTCCTTATGCTCCACAAGTAAGTGAAACCATATGATAATTGACTTTCTCTTCTTGGCTTATTTCACTCAGCATAATCTCCTCCAGTCCCATCCATGTTGATACAAAAGTTGGGTATTTATCCTTTCTGATGGAGGTGTAATATTCCATTGTAAATATGGCCCATATCTTCTTTATCCATTTGTCTATTGAAGGGCATCTTGGCTCTTTCCACAGTTTGGCTATTGTGGCCATTGCTGCTATGAACATTGGGGTACATATGGCCCTTCTTTTCAAGACATCTGTATCTTTGGGGTAAATATCCACTAGTGCAATTGCAGGGTCATAGGGTAGCTCTATTTTTAATTTCTTAAGGAATCTCCACACTGTTTTCCAAAATGGCTGCACCAACTTGCATTCCCACCAACAGTGTAAGAGGGTTCCCCTTTTTCCACATCCTCTCCAACACTTGTTGTTGTTGTTGGCCATTCTAACTGGTGTAAGGTTGTGTCTCAATGTGGTTCTGACTTGAATCTCCCCGATAGCTAATGAGGATGAACATTTATTCACTTGTCTGTTGGCCATTTGTATGTCTTCTTTGTAGAAGTGTCTGTTCATGTCTTCCCATTTTTTTGACGTGATTATCTGTTTTTTGAGTGTTGAGTTTGAGGAGTTCTTTATAGATCTTGGATATCAGCCCTTTGTCTGTAGTGTCATTTATGAATATCTTCTCCCATTCTGTGGGTTGCCTCTTTGTTTTGTTGACTCTTTCCTTTGCTGTGCAGAAGCTTTTTATCTTGATGAAATCCTAAAAGTTTATTTTTACTTTTGTTTCCTTTGCCTTTGGAGACATGTCTTGAAAGAAGTTGCTGTGGCCTATGTCAAAGAGGATACTGCCTATGTTCTTCTCTAGGATTTTGATAGATTCCTGCTTCACGTTAAGGTCTTTTATCCATTTGAGTTTATCTTTGTGTATGGTGTAAGAGAATGGTCGAGTTTCATTCTTCTACACATAGCTGTCCAATTTTCCCAGCACCATTTATTGAAGAGACTGTCTTTTTTCCCACTGGATATTTTCTCCTGCTTTGTTGAAGATTATTTGACCACAGAGTTGCAGGTCCATATCTGGACTCTCCACTCTGTTCCATTGGTCTATGTGTCTGTTTTGTGCCAGCACCATGCTGTCGTGGTGATCACAGCTTTGTAATAAAGCTCGAAATCAGGCAACATGATATCCCCAGTTTCGTTTTTCTTTTTCAACATTTCCTTAGCAATTCGGGGTCCTTTGGGTTCCATACAAAATTTAGGATTGTTTATTCCAGCACTTTGAAAAATGCTGGTGAAATTTTGATCAGGATGGCACTGAGAGTATAGATCGCTCTGGGCAGTATAGACATTTTAACAATGTTTATTCTTCTGATCCATGGGCATGGAATGCTTTTCCATCTTTTTGTGTCTTCTTCGATTTCTTTCATGAGTGTTCTATAGTTCCTCAACACAAATCCTTTACTTCTTTGGTTAGGTTTATTCCAAGGTATCTTATGGTTCTTGGTGCTATAGTAAATGCAATCTATTCTCTAATTTCCCTTTCTATATTTTCATTTTTCGTGTATAAGAAAGCAACTGATTTCTGTGCATTGATTTTTGTATCCTGCCACATTACTGAATTGCTGTATGAGTTCTAGTAGTTTGGGGTGGTCTTCTGGGTTTTCCATATAAAGTATCATGTCATCTGCGGAGACAGAGAGTTTGACTTCTTCTTTGTCAATCTGAATACCTTTTATTTCTTTTTGTTTTCTCATTGCTGTTGCTAGGACTTCTAATACTGTGTTGAACAAGAGTGGTGAGAGTGGGCATCCTTGTCGTGTTCCTGATCTCAAAGGGAAGGCTGTCAGCTTTTCCCCATTGAGAATGATATTTGCTGTGGGTTTTTCATAAATAGATTTTATGAAGTTGAGAAACGGTCCTTGATCCCTATACTTTGAAATTTTAATCAGGAATGGATGCTGTATTTTGTCAAATGCTTTTTCTGCATCAACTGAGAGGGCCATGTGGTTCTTCACTCTCCTCTTATTGATTTGTTCTATCACATTTATTGATTTGCAAATGTTGAACCACCCTTGCATCCCAGGGATAAATCCCACCTGGTCATGGTGGAAAGTACTGTTGAATCCTATTAGCTAGGATCTTGTTGAGAATCTTGGCATCCATGTTCATCAGGGATATTGGTCTGAAATTCTCCTTTCTGATGGGGTCTTTGCCTGGTTTAGGGATCAGGGTAATGCTGGCTTCATAGAAAGACTCTGGAAGTTTTCCTTCTGTTTCTATTTTTTGAAACAGCTTCAGGAGAATAGGTATTATTTCTTCTTTGAATGTTTGGTAGTATTCCCCAGGAGATCCGTCAGGTCCTGGGCTCTTGTTTTTGGGGAGGTTTTTGATCACTGCTTCAATCTCATTACTAGATATTGATCTATTCAGGTTGTCAACTTCTTCCTGTTTCAGTCTTGGAAGTTTATAGGTTCCCAGGAATGCATCCATTTAAAAGGCAGACACTTAACAAACTGAGCTACCAGGTACCCCCTTAGTTACTACTTAAATAAAAAAGCAGTTTTACTCTTTTCTCTACATCTATTCTAACTGACATCTATAGATTTTGAAATAATAAGGTTATAATCAGCCTACATAAATATTACTTATTTTTAAAGATATATTTATTTACTTTAGAGAGAATGAGCAGGATGAGGGGCAGAGGGAAAGGAAGAGAGAAAATCCTCAAGCAGACTCTTTGCTAAGAGCAGAGTCCAACGTAGGACTCCATCCCAGGACCTTGAGATCATGACCTGAGCTGAAATGAAGAGTTGGATGCTTAACCAACTGAGCCACCCAGGCATCCCCATAAATTTTACTTTTTAAAAAAATACATATATAAACTTTACTGGACTACTACACTACTTATAATTCTGAATCTCTTCTGAATCTTTAAGGCCTAAGTTTGCTTCTGAGAAAATTAGGTTTTACTGACTACTACAGTGGGAGGCTAAGAGTTCGGGAGATGGCTGTCAGAGGGGAATATTCAGTATCCTCTCCTCACATTTACATCTTTCTTAGTGGATTCGAGTCCACCTGCCTATGCTTCCAGCACTCTTCAACTCACTCCTTTCAGGCCTCCTAGGATAAGAAGAAAAAGTAATAACTTCCCTATTTATTAGGTCATATTTATTAGTGAGAAAGGATACTATTCATTAAAACCAGAGGAAGCTAGTCTCCAGCCTTTCACTCTGCTCCCGTGTAGTGAACTTCTTTTTTAAAAATACATTTTATTTATTTTATTTATTTATTAGAGAGTTAGAGAGAGAGCACAAGTAGAGCAGTGGGCAGAGGAAGAGGGAGAAGCAGGCTTCCTGGCCAGCAGGGAGCCTGATGTGGGACTTGATCCCAGGACCCTGGGATCATGACCTGAGCCAAAGGCAGACACTTAACCGACTGAGCCACCCATGTGCCCCATGAATTTCTTTTTGTTCATTCTCTCTCTCTGAAATGGAGGCCCTAAATGTTAGTGGATTACTAAACTCTAATGCTGGACCTTGCAGACTTTAATTCAGATGTTATCATTTCTCTGTCTCAAATGCTTTCTGCCTTGATTAATATCAGTGCCATGTTAAAATACAATTCTGAGATCAGGCACCCCCATTTTTGGTAGCAAGCAACTTGTACCTGTGACCCCAAAGCTTGCTTATCCGCAAGTCCTATAGCAGCAGCCAAGTTCCTGTGGGGTTCTGCTCTTCATGGGTGGAACAGGAAGAAAACCTGAATTAATTCACACATGTCTGCCACCAACATCTCTTTTTCCAGAAAGAATTCTGACTTCTTAAGAAATCTGGTCTGTGAAAGTTGGATTAAACACTAATTTCCAGCTTACATTCAGGGAGGAGATTCTTAGGCTTTCTCAATTTAGTAAGGTGATATAGGGCATTCAATAATGGCTTACTACTGGGTAACATCAGCAGACAGCATATTTTCCCCAAAATTGAAATCCCACCAGCATATATGAAGGGTCTACTATGTGCAAAGCACTGTGCAGTTAAACCTAAGGAGTTATGACATAGAACTTAATGAAAAAGAATTTAATATATATATTCTATATGTAAATATTTTAATTATTGCTGATATAGACTACGTTAAGGTTACTTGTCTTATCAGTAACTTAAATAAGAAAAACAAAACCTATATTAAGAAAAACCTAAAACCTTACTGAAGAAAATAAAACCTTTTGTGTTGTAATTTTTATTTTTCTGGGACAGAAAGCTGACAAAACAATGGTAAAATCCTTCTTGAAGAGTAAATGTCGAGGAAAAGCCCTAACATTTTTGGGGAAAAACAAAGGCTGAGGATGCACTTTGCCCAACAGCAACATATAAGGCATACTTCAGAGAAAAACAAACCATGTTTCAGATAAATTTTAGTACTTAGTTATTATTTGTATACCAAACAAAATAACTTAGAGCCATAAAATAAGAACCAGTAAAATTTGACTAATAGGTCCATCAGCTCCTTTTACAGAGGTAGCACAGAGTCTTCCTTCACAGTGTGAACTCTCCAGCCAGGCTGGCAGATTTCCTACCAACTCTGTGACAATAAGCAGTCTACTGACTCCTCTCTGCTTCTTTTTCCTCATCTGGAAATGAGGATGATAGCAATAAGCTACCTCCTAGGATTGCTATGAGGATCAAATGAATCAACACATTCAGAGCTCTTAGAAAAGTGTCTGACATGGTATACATGTCCATAGAACTGTCAGATAAATTCATTTCCCTTCAAATATGTTCTGACCAAAAAATCTGCAATCTTAGTGGCTCAGCATACATGTGTGTGGTAGCCGCTAGGAATGAATGAGCTGATCTGACTAGTGAGGAGCCACAGAATGTATCAGAGAGAACAATTCAATGGGCAATAGTAAACATATACATGAAAAGGCAAGGAGAGCTAAAACTCTGAGTCACCAAACATTAAAGAGGTGCGGAGGGAGAGGCAAAGTGAGAGGGAGAAGCAGACTCAGCGCTGAGCAGGGAGCCTGATGCAGGGCTTGATCCCCACACACTGGGATCATGACCTGAACCGAAGGCAGATGCTTAACCCACTGAGACACCCAGGTGCCCTAAATCCTAGACTTTCATAGCAGTCCCCTTCATGGGGCTTATGGTGAGCTTCGGTAGTAGCACAGTATATTCCTGGCTTTACCTATAATTTTTATACTGCTAAAATACTGCAAAAGTAAAATTTTCCATGACAGCCACAGAAAAGGAAATAACACTTAATCTTGCTCTTCACTGTCAATGCTTCCAAAATAAAATTTATAAGGAACTCTTGGATTATTGAAAGACTTCTAGATAACTTCCCATATACAAATACAATGTAAATCAGGTAGGATATGCATTAACTACCCAAACTACTACCAACTCTCTCTCAGACTTTTTTTTTTTTTTTTTTTTTAAAGAGGGTAAGTTGTGGGGGCAGGGTTGGGAGGTAGGGAGAGAGAATCCTATGCAGGTTCCATGCCCAGCACTTAGTGCAATGCAGGACGTGATCTCACAACCCTGAGATCATGATCTGACCTAAAATCAAGAGTCTGATGCTTAACTGACTGAGCCACCCAGGTTCCCTTCGGACTACTTTTAGTGAAAGTAGCATTTTAAATTTTAACATTCTATTATCACAATGGTCATTTGTGATAAATTCCTTTGTAAAAATGAATTTAATTTTAGCTTCAAAGGGTTCCTAAGAAACAATTTAAGTGAACAACTCAATAGGTCTTAGGTCCCTTCTTGAAACATACTGGTTTGTAATTCCATTTTCAGTTTGAAGTATAAACTTAGTCAAGTACAGATATATGAAGCTATTAACCTTTTATTTTCATTGTTACTCTACAGCAACTAAAAGACTGAAAATGTTTATACAAATACCTCTTGAAATCCAGCTTGATGCCTTTATTGCTTTTTATAACTGCAGTCAGCCATTCCTGTAAAGTATTATCACTATTTGTTTCAGGAGGATGGGCCATGATTGGTTGGCTATATTCTGACCCATCACTCGGAAGAAGGACATCAGCCTCTATCATGTGAGCAGTACCTGTCCAAATAAAAGAACTTAAGTTAATGCTAATAAAACAGGGACTGAAGAAGATGTCAGGTCCAGTAGTCTTTTGAGGAAGACAAAAACTAACATTTACTGAATAACTACTAAGTACCAGGTCCTGTACTAGGCCTTCACAAGTTTGTTTGTTTCACAGATGAGCAAACAGGCGAGGAGTTAAATGCCTTTCTGTAGGTTTACAGCTCTTAAGCTGATGTTAAAATATTAATTTCTTTCCAGTACATAGCAAAGTGAGTATACAAAAGGAAGGATTAATATGTGTTCATTGAAGTTTCTGAGAATAAAATAGTACTTTTATCTTCTCACTCCTCACATTAGAAACTATAGATATTTATTGCTTATAGTAACATTTTTCCTGAAGATGTTACAAAAGTTTTTTTAAATACATATTTTATTCTCAAAAAGACTCAATGTTTTCTGTTTTTCTTACCAGGACATTTTTAAATATGAATGTGTTTAAAATCTAAATGTTAATAAATAAAATGTAAATGCTGAAACCATAAAATAAAATTACATTATATGTAATAACTTCTGTAACAACTTTGACTATTCTGAGCTCTAGCTGTGTTGACAGTGCAATAAATACCAAGTGGTACTTTTACATTGTTTCTCCTGTACTCTGTTTTTTTAAAAATCTAGACATTGTTGAAAATCCAATTTCCCATGTTAACCAATCTGAAACAGATGTATTAATAATAGTTATACTATGTTTAAATATTCTGGGAGAAATGAGATAAACCACTGAAATATAGCCTTCATATCTCTAGGATCCTCTCTCTTTTCCTTTAGCCTAAAAAGAAATAACAAAACTAACCATGGCTGAGAAAAGGGATTTGTGAAGAGCATTTCCAAACTATAAAATTTGGGGCTCTGGTTTTGCCTAACAGAATGTAAAAAGGACATTATCTGAAGACTAACCTATGAAAACTTCCTGGATCAATATATTGATCTATTGATCTCTATACTATTTTTAGTATAGTATAATAAAAAATACTATATTTTTAATATAAGATTTCAGCATATACTATTATGAATTATAAATTTTTAACAATTTTTTCCAAATTTTTAGTTGCTATTACATAGAAATAAAATTTATTGTTTTGACTTTGTATCCTGAGATTTTTCTAAATTTACCCATGAATTTCAATCATTTATCTGTGAGATTTTTGATTTTCTATATATACAACCATTATGTCTATAAGTAGTACTTTATTTCTTCCTTTTTTCCATTTTTAAAAATTAACATAGGGGTGCCTGGGTGGCTTAGTTGGTTAGGCATCTGCCTTTGGCTGGGATCATGATCCCGGGGTTCTGGGATCCAATCCCAAAGGGCTCCCTACTTAGCAGGGAGTCTCCTTCTCCCTCTGACCTTCTCCCCTACTCATGCTCTCTTTCTCCCTCTCTCTCTCTCAAATAAACGAATAAAATATTTAAAAAATTGACATATAATTCACAGACCATAAAATTCCACTTTTAAAGTATACATTCAATAGTTTTTTATTTTTTATTTTTTAGATTTTAAAAAAATTTATTTATTTGACAAACACAGAGAGAGAGAGAGAGAGCATAAGCAGGAGGAGCAGCAGGCAGAGTAAGAGGGAGAAGCAGGATCCCCGCTGAGCAGGGAGCCTGATGTTGGCTCCATCTAGGACCTTGGGATCATGACCTGAGCCAAAGGTAGACACTTAACCAACTGAGCCTCCCAGGCGCCCCAATTCAGTGTTTTTTTAGGATATTCAAAAGGCTGTGCAACCACCACCAGTACCTAATGCCAGAAAAATTTCATTATCCCAAAAAGAAACCCTGTATCCATTAGCATTCACTCCCTATTCTCTACTCCCACCAGCTCCTGGCATCCACTAAACAACTTTTTCTTGAGTGTTGCTTTTGCTAAAATTCACTTATTACACAATCACTGTGTGGTTTTTATGTGCTAGGCACTGTTTTAGGTATCAGGGATTCCATATTAAACCAAAGTTCCTCCTTTTGAGGAGAAAGACTAACAGTTAAAAAATATCTTTACAGTAAAAGAAATATATATTCAGATACATTATCCAGATACATAATTGAGTAGGATGCAAAAGATGCATTAATTTTTACAATAAAACTTGGGACTGTGGAGTTTTCCTTGTTGTACCAGATCACTTTGAGCTATGCCCTAGACCTCTCGGGTGACAATGCTTTCAGTCTCCTGTGCTGCTGCAGCCAACATGGGTACTTCATAGGAAGTAGCTAAAAAAACTGCTATAGTGTTCATCTATAATGAAGGGATATATATAACTATATATCCTATATAGATATATAGAGAAATAGAGAAAAGATATATATAGATATAGACATATAAATACATACATGTGAGATATATATATATATATATATATATATATTTTTTTTTTTTTTTAATAGATTAAGTTAGTAAACCAAAGTCCTGGTTTCTAGCCCAAGGCAATTAGTTATAAATTAGTACACAATGGCTTCATCCATCCATTAACATACTTGTTGAAATTCTCCTTAGTACACTATGAAGGACACAAAAATATGTAACATACAACACTGATATTAAAAATTTGCTCAAATAACTACAATGTATAAGCAAGTGTAATAATATATTGAGAGTTTCAAGTAGACACAGAAAAAGTAAATCACTTTTGGAAAATAAGAAAATTCTTCCATTATGCAAATTTGTTCATTTTGTAAACAAAATGAGATCTTTTATTTATTTATTTATTTTTTTTTTTAAAGATTTTATTTATTTATTTGACAGGCAGAGATCACAAGTAGGCAGAGAGGCAGGCAGAGAGAGGAAGGGAAGCAGGCTCCCTGCTGTGCAGAGAGCCCGATGCAGGGCTCGATCCCAGGACCCTGGGATCATGACCTGAGCCGAAGGCAGCGGCTTAACCCACTGAGCCACCCAGGCGCCCCACAAAATGAGATCTTTTATAAAAATACTTATGTCAGCCTACAATTTGCACTTTGATCTAAGTCTTTGATACCTACAAATATGCCTACATATCACAAAAAGACCTGAATCAATTTATTATCCAGTGTAAATACAAGAAACTGTATTGACTTACTTTTCAGTGCCTCATTCAGTTGTGCCTTATGGTTAGCCGCATGATACCAGACGATCTCAGCGCCATCTTCTGTTGTGATCAGGTTATTTCTCAGAAAATATTCTAGTACATTTTCACTCCAAGATCCTAAAACAACATTTAAATCAAAATGAATGGATTGTTTTTCATGGGGCAAACATTTTTAAATAATATTGGGCAGAGCATATTTTTGGGGAGAATAAAAAGTAATTAAACTGGAAATTATACAAGATTTCAAAAATTGAGAACAATCATTATGATGTGGCAGGTGTATATTATATATATAAACTAGCTACATATAAGTAACAATTAGTAAGCATATAGGATAGTCTATCTGAAACTCAGAAGCACGAGGAAGTAGGGAGGAAGAAAAATAAATGGTAAGAAGCAGTTATTTTAAAGATTTTTTTTTTTTAATTTATTTGACAGAGATCACAAGTAGTCAGAGAGGAAGGCAGAGAGTGAGAGGGGGAAGTAGGCTCCCTGCTGAGCAGAGAGCCTGATGCGGGGCTCCATCTCAGGACCCTGAGATCATGACCTGAGCCGAAGGCAGAGGCTTTAACCCACTGAGCCACCCAGGCACCCCAAGAAGCAGTTATTCTAAAGCAAGAATTTTCACATGATATTGTTTCCAATCCTGGACTATAAACAAGTAAAATGTATGTGAAGTCATAGTAAAAGCTATATTAAAACTTCTTAAATTTTGTGCAACTTAATTGTTTTCTTCACCTGAGGCCCCATTCTATATTCATATAACAATTTAGAATCTTAAACAACACATGTAAGTATATTCACCTTCGGATTATGAATCTCAACAATATTTATATGAGTGACTAAGCTTCTGAATTAGTAATCATAGATTTATCTAGCAGGTAAAAATACACATAATTCCCTATCAACTACTTTTTGGCTCACCATATTTTCTCTTAATTAAGCCTTAAAATATGTGAGTTAAGACTAAAACACTTGAATCCAAGTCTACTCCATTCTATGTCATATCCCAATATAACAATGAGAAAAATAGTTATGTACCTAATTCTTGTTTATTCACTTAAACATTTTAAGCCTACCAATTGGCTGCAAATTCCTTACGCATGAGATTATGTCTTCTGTTAATTTTTTATTAACTCTGCCTAATAAACTGTTAAAAACCTACAAATGGCCAGCAGAAACTGCCAATTAAGACATCAAGAAAAAAGCAAATTTTGATTAGAGAATGGAGGGACATAAAAAAGAGAACTTCTTAATATGCATGGAATTTAGCAACCACTCTGTATATTGAGCTACAGAATATAGGTGAGAGTTAGCTATAGCATCCACTATAATCCAAAATTACATGGTTCTATTTAGCATATGCAACAGTCACAGACTATTCAGACTCAGATGAAAATACATAGCAATTTTTTAAATACTTGAGTTAGGCATTTTTAGAAGGCACATTAATTATAGGCTAAAACAGAAATGTCCTACAATGGAAAAACAATTAAAACATAGTATATCTTCATGATAAAAATAAGTGACTGTTATAGTTGTTTAAAAAGTTTTTGAGATGGGGTGCCTGGGTGACGCAGCTGGTTAAGAATCTGCTTTTGGCTCAGGTCATGATCTCAGGGTCTTGGTATCAAGCCCTGCATCCCCGCTTGGCAGGAAGCCTGCTTCTCCCTCTCCCACTCCCCCTGCTTGTGTTCCCTCTCTTGCTGTTCTTTCTCCATCAATAAGTAAATCTTTTAAAAAAATTGTAATAGCAAGATTCAAAATAACCTAAATACCCATCAACAGTGATTCATTAAATAAATTATGGTATATCCGAGCAAAGGAACATTATGCAGCCATTAAAAAGAATGAGGCAGGGGCGCCTGGGTGGCTCAGTGGGTTCAGCTCAGGTCATGATCTCAGGGTCCTGGGATCAAGCCCCGCATCAGGCTCTCTGCTCAGCGGGGAGCCTGCTTCCTCCTCTCTTTCTCTCTCTCTGCCTGCCTCTCTGACTACTTGTAATCTCTACCAAATAAATAAATAAAATCTTAAAAAAAAAAAGAATGAGGCAAATCCATATCTACTGATATAATCTCAAAGATATGTTAAACGGAATAAAAGCACAATGGAGAACAATATGTATAGGACTCTGGCAGGAAGAATAATGACCCCTCCCCTGCCAAAGATGTCCATGTTCTAATTCCTGTAAATTGTGAATATGTTATATTACATGGCAAGGGGAATTAAAGTGACAAACAGAATTAAGGTTGCTATTCATCTGATTTTGAGGTGTGGAGATTAGCTGGGATTATCCAGGTGGGCCCACTGAGCCACAAAATCCTTGCAAGTGAAAGAGAGAGGCAGGAGAGTGGTGTCAGAGTGATACAATGTTAAAAAAAAAACAACAACAACAAAAACCAAAAACCAAAAAACTTCACTAGCCATTGTTGGATCTGAAATGGGGGAAGAGACCAAAAGCCAAGGAACTCAAGCAGTCTGTAGAGGATGGTGAAGGCTAAAATACAGATTCTCTCCTAGAGTCTCCAGAAGGAATGCAGTCATGCTGCCACTTTGATTTTAGGTCAGTGAGACCATTTTAGACTTCTGACCTACAGAACTATAAGATAATAAACGTGTGTTGTTTCAGTAACAAAAACTAATGCCCTAAAAAAAACTAGTCTGTATATTTTTTTAAAAGTAGGAGAAAACAAAAAAAGAGATACATAGTATATGGTAGCATGCATGTACACTATGTTCTTAAAATTCAGGATTGTTAGTGTCAACGAAAAGAAGAGGCAGAACTGAAATAAAAGCATTTAGCTGAGGTCTGAGAATTGCAATTTAGGGAGTTTTTTAAAAATTCTAAGTCAGGGGTTTTTTAAGACAAAGAATGCTTCTCTATGTTGTTTTACAAAAAATTTTAACTGGTGTTGAGGGCAGAAAATTAATCCTAGCTAAACAGAGTTAGTTGCTAAGTCTATCAATAAGAAAAAGTGTAGTAAGTTGCCGGTACTCCTGCAGAGTCCTTGGAATATTTGCAGTTTAGCCCAGTTCAAAAGTTCAAGGTTCTACCTGATGAGAAGGTGCGTAAGCCCCTCCTCATTAATTGCCTTTGGCCCCATAATGAGGCCTTCTGTCCTCATTAATTGCCTTCTGGCCCCCTTGACTTAAGTTATTCCATTTTATTTTACCAGTCACATTAGAAAATATATCAAAAAGTTACTAGTGGCATTGTGTGGGCATTTTTTCCTACTTCAACATATTCTACAAATGTTCTATAATGAACATGTATTATATTTACAATCAGGAAAAAACTTAAGCTGAAAAAAGAATATGTCACCAAAGCTATATAATGTGACTATTTAGGATTATGTAAAAAATACTGTAACCTTCTGGGCGCCCCTGTGGGGCTTGGTAGGTTAGGGCCCCTGGGTGGCTCAAACATCTCACTCTCGATTTCAGCTCAGGTCATGATCTCAGGGACCTGGGATCTAGTGTTGCATCCAACTCCTTGCTCAGCAAGGAGTATGCTTAAGATTCTCTCCCTCTCCCTCCCACCTCTCAATCTCTCTCAAATAAATAAATAAATCTTAAAAAAATAACAAAGATACTGTAATCTTCTGGAGTAGAACTGCCTGGTTTAAATTTTTCTTTTTCTATACATTCCTTAAAAAAAAAAAAAGATTTTATTTATTTATTTGACAGAGAGAGAGAGAGAGAGAGAGAGAGAATACAGCAGGGGGAGTAGGAGAGGGAGAAGCAGGCTCCCCACTCTGGGGTCAAGTGACAGGGACACACTAGTTACCAGCTTCTGGAAGTTGTATAACAAAAAGCTGGACTAATGCTTGGCCACATCTCTTTGTCTTCATTTCTCACTCTTGCCCAATTCCAGGAGAAATCAGACTAACCAAAACTACTCTCCATTCGATCTACTGAAATTATAGATCAGGTAAATGTCACTTTCAACCAGGACCTTAAGATGCAACATTCCTATCCCCTCACCACTCCTTTGCAACATCATACTAGAAATACTAGCTATGCACTAAGACAATAAAAGTAAATAAAAAGTATATAAATTGGGGAAGAAAATATAAAACAGTCTTTGTTCACAGACAACATGATTTTATATGCAAAGAATCTGAAGGAATCAACACAAAAACTCCCAGAATTAGTAAGTGATTTTTGCAAGCTTGAAGGATACAGGGTTAATATTTTTTAAAAAGCCAATTGTTTTTCCACTTACCAGCAAAAACAAGTGGAATTTGAAATGGAAAATGCAATACCATTTATATTAGCACCCAAAACCCAAAAATACTTAGGTATAACTCTAACAAAATATGTACAAGATCTATAAAAGGAAAGCCACAAAACTCTAATAAGTGAAATAAAAGAACTAAATGGAGATATTCCATGTTCATGGACAGAAAGACTCAATATTGTCACGACATCAGTTCTTCCAAATTGATCTACAGATTTGAGCAATCACAATAAAAATCCCACTAAGTTATTTTATAGATATTGACAAACTGACTCTAAAGTTTATACAGAGGGCATAAAAACCAAAGTAGCCAACACAAATCCTGAGGGAGAATAACAAAGAGGTGACACTACCCAACATTAAGACTTACTATAAAGCTACAGTAATCAAGGCCAGGCAATACTGGTGAAAAAACAGACAGAAAGATCAATGGAATAGAACAAAGAGCCCTGAAGTAAATGCCCTGTAAATATAAAGCCCTGATCTTTGGCAAAGGAACAAAGGAAATACAATGGAGTAAAGAAAATCTTTGTAACAATGATGTGGGAACAACTGGACGTCTACCTGGAAAACAATGAATCTAGAAACAGACCTTACATCCTTCACAAAAATTAAATGCAAAACTATAGAACTCCTTTAAGATAATATAGGAAAAAACCTAGATGGCCTTGGGTATGGTGAAGACTCTTTAGATACAACACCAAAGGCATCACCCATGAAAGAAAGAATAGGTAAGCTGAACTTCACTAAAATGAAAAAAACTTTTGTTCTACAAAAGATAGTATCAAGAAAATGAGAAAACAAGCCACAGACTTGCAGAAAATACTTGCAAAAGACATATCTGATACCGGACTGTTATCCAAAATATACAAAGAACACTTAAATCTCAACAGTAAGAAAATAAACAATGTGATTTTAAAAGTAGGTCACTTTACAAACCGTAAGAGACTCAATCTCACAAAACAAACTAAGGGTTGCAGGGGGAGGGGGGGAGGGTGAGGGTGGTGGGGTTATGGGCATTGGGGAGGGTATGTGCTATGGTGAGTGCTGTGAAGCATTGTAAACCTGGCGATTCACAGACCTGTACCCCTGGGGCGAATAAACATTATATGTTCATAAAAAAAATTAGAAAAAAGGTCACTTTATCATCATATATAAAGAAACGCCAAGCATTTGAAAAAGTCATTATATGTCATAATATGTCATCAGAGAAACAGAAAACAATGAGGTACAACAACCCACCTATTACAATATCCAAAAGCTGGAACCCTGACAACACCAAATGCTGGTGAGAGTGGAGCAAAAGGAACTTTCATTCACTGTTTATGGGAATGCAAAATGGTACAGCCACTTTAAAAGTTAGGCAGTTTCTGACAAAACTAAGCATATTCTTATCATACAATCCAGCAGTTGTGCTCCTTGATATTTACCCAGAGGAGTTGAAAACTTAAGTTTTCAAGTTACAAAAACCTGCACGAGGATGTTTACATTGGCTTTATTCATAACGGTCAAAAATTAGAAGCAACCAACATGTCTTTCAGTGGATCAATAGATCAATAAACGTTGGTACATCCAGACAACCACCAGGAATATTACTCCAGTGCTAAAAAGAAATGAGCTCTCAAGTCGTGAAAAGAACCTTAAATGCACACTATTAAGTGAAAGAGGTCAATCTGAAAAGGCTACATACTGTATGATTCCAACTATATGACATTCTAGAAAAGACAAAACAATGACTAGTGGTTATAGGAGGTGGGTGCGAATAAGCAGAGCACAGAGGATTTGGGGATCAGTAGAACTATTTTGTATGATACCATAATGAGGGATACAAAGCATTTAACACCTGTCTAAACCGAAAGAACAGACACCACCAACAGTGAACCCAAAGGTAAACTATGGACTTCGATTATGATGTGTCAATGTAGAGTCACAAGAATAGGAAATGTTGGTATTAAGCGGAGGCTCTGCACGTATTCAGGTAAGGGGTATATGGCGAATCTCGGTGACTTCCAGCTCAATTATCCGATGAATCCAAAACCACACTAAAAAAGAATTCCTTTTTTAAAAGGGCCCAATATTCTTGCTATTCTTGGCCGCATCATAGGCTTTAACACCCACGCGAGGAACCAAGATTCTAGGCCAGTCCACTGGGCGCGCAGCGAGGACTCGGACCCCCATGAGCAACAGGGCGTGGTGCTGCCGCAGGAGTCTCGCAAAGCGCTCCAACTATAGGTCGGAGGCCAGAGAGCGTGCCGGACTGCGAGCCAATCGTGGGCAGTCCTTCAGGGACCCACAGAGGCGGGATCCGCGCTTACCAGGGCCCCCAGCAGTCGCTGTCATGGCGACGGCCAACCGCAGTCCGCGGAGGCGCGGAGCTGTGGGCCACCGCGGTTGACCTTCACAGGTGGCGTGGAAACCCGACTCAACAAACGACACACAAAGGAGCCGCCTCCCTCGGGCCACGAACCTCCTAGGTGAGGTTTCCAAGCGGAGGCGGAAAGAGAAACGTTGCGCACGCGCAGAGGCTGAGGCTCGAGTTTCTCCAGTGCGCAGTCTCCAGGTTGGCGTGCGCCGCGCAAGTGTCGCGCGAGTTGCTCCTTTGAGAGAGAGTCAGAAAACGGGTAGTTCTGAAGAACTCTACGTCAGGGAAGGCTGAGGATGAAGCTCCGAAATTGAAAGAAGTCACTGGTGTGAGGTACGATTTTCCAAAGTTGAATATATTTTCTCTTTTTTATTTTAGTAACATCCTAAAATGACATGGAGTCATTTCCTCGTAAAAACGAGTGTTTCTTCACAAGGATACCAAAGTTAACTTAAAATTTTCTGTATCCCTGTTCCTACCAGTGTTCATTCACGAAACACTTGTAGCAACTGGATTCTCTCACCCGTTGCTTTTTTTGCCCACAACTCTTTACTTTCCGCAGCCAAACTGAAACTAGAAAAAGACCTCAGTGGTAGGTCTCAGTCAGAGCACTGACATTTTCTCGCCCTGTGACTCTAATACATTTCAGTCCGTCGTAAAATTAGGATGACACATCACCGGACACATAACGCAAATGACAGCCCTTCAGATTTTAATATATTGTAGTCTTTCCCCACTTGGGTTGTAATTATTTCGGTTTGTCTCCAGTCAGGCTTCCAGTGTTCTCTGGTGGTTCTCCAGCTAAGTCAAAAAGATTTCTAGAGTTTCAGAAAACGCTAAATTCTAATGATTTCAGTGTTTTTTTTAAATCGTTGAGATATACAGTTGGTTGACTCCTATTTGATTTGCAGTTCCCCAGTGATAAAAATGTTACCCATTTAAAGTGTCCAAGGCAGTGTATTCATAGAATTTTGTAACCACACCACAGTCAACTTAACATTTTCGTCACCCCAGGGCAGTTACTTTCCATTTCTTCCCCAACGCTGTGCAACCACAAATCTACTTTTTGTCTCTGTAGATTTGCCTATGCTGGACACTTCACTTAAATGGAATCATACAGTGTTAGTCTTTTGTGACTGGCTTCTTTCACTTAGCATATCTTGGCAAGGTCCCTCAGTACTGTAGCATGCATCAGTACTTTGTTCTTCGTAGCCAAGTAAAATTCCATTTTTGTATATACCACACTTTATTTGTCCATTCACCAATTAATGGACATTTGCATTGTTTCTGCTTTCGGACTGCTAATAACTAATACTGCTTATAAGCATTCTTGCATAGATCCTATATGGAAGTATGTGGAAGGAATTTCTTTTGAAGTAGAATTGCTGGTTAATATGGTAACCTTATGTTTAACTTTTTGAGGAATTGCCAAACAGTTTTTATTTATTTTATTTTATTTATTTATTTGAGAGAGAGTATGAGCGGGAGGGGCAGAGAGAGAGGGAGAGAATCTCAAGCTGACTCCATGCTGAGTTTGGGGACTGACACAGGGCTTGATCTGAAGACCCTGAGATCATGACCTCAGCTGAAATCAAGAATTGGATGCTTAACTGACTGCACCACCCCTGCTAAACAGTTTTTAAAGGCAGATCTCCCGTTTTTGCATTCTCCCCAGCAAGGATTAAGAGTTCCAATTTCTCGGGGCACCTGGGTGGCTCAGTGAGTTAAGCCTCTGCCTTCGGCTCAGGTCATGATCTCAGGGTTCTGGGATCGAGTCCCACATCCGGCTCTCTGCTCAGCAGGGAGCCTGCTCCCCCAACCCCCGCCCCTGCCTGCCTCTCTGCCTGCTTGTGATCTGTCAAATGAATAAATAAAATCTTAAAAAAAAGTTCCAATTTCTCTATATCCTCAAGAATAATTGTTATTATCTGTTGATTTTTTTTTTAATTGTAGCTATCTAAGTGGATAATGAAGTAGTATCTCATTCTGGTCTTGATTTGCATTTCCCTAGTGATTAATAATATTGAGCATATTTTCAAGTGCTTATTGACTATTTTCTTTGGAGAAATGTTTATTCAAATCACTTGCCCATTTTTAAAAGAGATTTTATTTACTTATTTATTTGAGAAAGAGACAGAGAGAGAGAGAGACAGCACGCAAGCTGGGGGGAGCAGAGGGAAAGAGAGAGAGAATCCCAAGCATATTCCATGCTGAGTGCAGAGCCCGATGCAGGGCTCAGTCTCATGACCTGAGATCATGACCTGAGCTGAAACCCCAAGAATCAGACACTTAACCGACTGAGCCACCCATTGCCCCTTTTGCTCATTTTTAGTTGGGTCATTTGTGGGCTTTCTTTGTTGAATTATAAAAATTCTTTATGAGGTCTGACTCCAGTCCCTTAACATACATGATTTGCAAATATTTTCTCCCATTTTGTAGGTTGTCTTTTCACTTTCTTGATACTATCAGCTGCACTTCAGAAGTTTTTATGGCCTGTTGGTTATGGTATTAGGTCAGTTTTCGTAGATTTTACATTTATGAATTGATTCAATTAAAATTACTCTTTACTATTCATTTGTGAGAGCTGTACACTGAAGTATGTGTGGCATAAAACAATGATGTCTGAGATTTGGTTGAAGGTACTCCAGCAAAGAAATAAAAGGATAGATGAAACAAAAGTAGAAAATCTTGAAAATTGTCGAATCTGAGGTTTGTCATAGAATGGGCACATTGAGCTATATCATCCTATTCTCTCTACTTTTATGTAGGGGAAAATATATTTTTATACCAAATACATATCTGATTACTCTTTTTTTTTTTTTTAAAGATTTTATTTATTTATTTATTGGACAGACAGAGATCACAAGTAGGCAGAGAGGCAGGCAGAGAGAGAGGAAGGGAAGCAGGCTCCCCGCTGAGCAGAGAGTCCGATGCGGGGCTCGATCCCAGGACCCTGAGATCATGACCTGAGCCGAAGGCAGAGGCTTTAACCCACTGAGCCACCCAGGCGCCCCCTGATTACTCTTTTATGGCACAAAGGAAAGGTTTCATATGTTAAGGGTATATAGTGCATTGAAGGAAGAATAGCAGATAAACAGAGCCTTACGAGGTTAGTGTGAAAATTAAGCATTGACCTGAGAATTTCAAGATACTTTTGATGATACATATGTATAAATAGGAGTAAAGTGTGTACTGTTAGTTCTGAGTAACCTAATCTGGGTGGGAGTGGTAACTTTAAACAAGGTGAAGCCATTTGTGGAAGTATGACCTTTGATTTAGTATACATAACTCACTCTTGAGTAAGTATAGCTGGCCTTAGGATTTATTTTCCAGTCAGTACTTATGTGTGTCTGTTTCTTTGTTTGTTTATTTGTGTGTGTATGTATATATACATATATATATGTAAAAATTTTTTTTTACATGTATGGTTGACCCTGAACAATGTGGAGACATGGAGGGTTAGGAGCACTGACCCCCTGCACAGTTGAAAATCTGTGTATAACTTTTGACTTCCCCACACCTTAGCTACTGATAGCCGACTGTTGACCCAAAGCCTTACCAATAGTATAAACAGTTAACAGACATTTTTTGTCATATGTATTGTATATTGTACTTTTACAAGAAAGTAAGCTAGAGAAAAGAAAATTAAGAAAATCATTAAAAAATCATAAGAGAAAGTAACATTTACAGTACTGTACTTAATCAAAAAAATCTGTGTATAAGAGACCTGCATAGTTCAAAACTATGTTCTTCAAGGGTCAACCGTATGTGTGTGTGTGTATATATGTAAACATATAATATTTGTAAATATTAATATTCATTTATGTTTACTATACTAAATATATTTTTTATAGTTTTCTGGTCTGTATCTTGTTCTTTACAAGTTTTCTGCCAGCCTAACTGCTTATTTTTTTAAGTATAAAGCAGTCTATCTTCACTCTCTGGTTGCCTGTAATTACTTTTTAGATATGCCTACATTGATAGCTTCCACTTACTTTGATATCCTTTTCTCAGGCTTACTCTGCAGTTCAGAAGACTTTTTTTTTTTTAAAAGCAAACGATGCTTAATGTAATCTGCCAAATTTGGAGTCTGCAATGCATTCTTTCTTTTACATAACTTAATGCTAAAATCTGAGGATCCCACTAATTATAAATTCTCTAAATTTTGATTGAAAACAAAAAACTAATGTAATTCAGTGTAATTCAGGGTTTTGAGAATTGAGAAATTAAATATATGTATATAACTTGGTTCCCTTTAGCTGCTTAAAATTTTTTTAAATTTAATTGATTTGTCAGACATTTTTGCTACTTCACCCAATTAGCTGTGTTTACTTAAGTGTTAAACAATTCATGAAAACACATATATTTATGGAATTAAAAATAAACCTTACACACATGTAGAATATGAGCACTGGTTATAGTGAGAAGAGCACTGGTCAGAAGGAGACCATTGGGTTCTAGTTTCAGCTATGTGACCTCTAGCTATATACGTAGTCTTTGCGCCCTTGAACTAGGATTTCATTTTGTTAGTGAAAGTAGGGACATTTCATTAGATGACCTTAATGCTTTTTTTCTGCTTCTGAAATTATAAGCAGAGCCATCAAAACTCTGCATAAATTTAATAGAGATTAGTTTGGAGAGTCCTAATTGCTAAAAAGTTTCTCCTTAAATTCCAATAGTTAGTTCCTAGATGTGTGACTTTAAGGAAGTTATTCTTTTATTATCTTGTCTATGAAATGCAATAATAAACCACAGGTAAATTTCCTTTTACTGAAGTCTGCTCTCTCTGGTAATCACCAAAGCCACTCCAGGTTTTTAAAAAAAATTTAAGTGCCTGCAAGGTGTATTTTTTACTCTTCTTTTTACTTTTTAGTTTTAGTTTAGTTTAGGTTACTTTTTACTTTGTAGCCTATATATTCCATTATGTTTCAGAAAGTTTCTTGTAGATAGTATATAATCAAGTCTTGTTTTTTTAGCTAGTCTGTAAGTTTTAATTACTATACCATTTCAGTTTAATTTTTTATTTTGTTGGATTTAGGTCTACCACTTATCATTGTCTCTCTGCTTTTCAGTTCTGTTTTCCTTTCTGGCCTCCTTTCGAATTTTTTTTTTATTATTTTATAGAATTTCATTTTACTTTATATATTGGCTTTTTAAAAATATCTCTCCATGCTATATTTTTTAGTGATTACTGCAGAGTTTTATTTTTTTTAAGATTTTATTTATTTGAGAGAGAGAAAGAGTGAGAGAGAGTACGAGTGTGGGGGCAGGCAGGGAGAAGGAGCAGTCTCCCTGCTGAGCAGGGAGTCTGACGTAGGGCTTGATCCCAGACC